GCTGAAAGAGTGGACTCAAAGTTCAATGAGACAGTCTATCTCAAAAAGACAACATGGAGCATGACAGAGGAAGACATGCGGCATAAAACACTGACTGACAAATATCCATGAATAGGTTAGCACACATGCACATGCATCATACACACACACACACACACACACACACACACACACACACACAGTCACCCATGACACTTTTCTTTATTATCGTCAGTGCAGTTAGTTTTGAAAGAGAATTCTGGGAACAAGAGGCCTGAGGCAGGAATCACCAGCCAGACACAGAAAAAGAGAGATGTAAAAGTACCAGTAAGCCACAAGCCATGTGGCAACTTATAGATTGATTTAAAATTGGTTAATTTAAGATATAAGAACTGGATAGCAAGAAGCCTGAACCATTAGGCCAAACAGTTAAATAATATAAGCGTCTGTGTGTTTATTTGGGTCTGAGTGGCTGCAGGGCCCCGAGCGGGACTGGAAATAACTCCAGCTACAAGTTATTTTTTAGATATGTGATAGAAATCAGCAGTGAAGTCATCTGGTCCAGGGCTTTCCTTTGTTGAAAGACTTTTTATTCTATTCACTCTCTTTTGTTCATTAATAGTTTGTTCAGTTTTCCTCTATGATTCAGTGTTGGTAGTGGGTAAGTGTGAGGGAGTTGCACACTTCTTATTGACAAGCGTGTTAGTATATAGGTGTCAGAGGTAGTTTCAATTCCACTAGTTTGAGTCTCTTCCTTAAAAAACAAAATCTAGCTGTTTTTCAGTTTTGCTCGTTTTTAAAGATAACTCATTTTCTATTAGTTGTATTATTTCAAAATGAATATTTATCTCTACTCTTACCTCTAGTCTTTTTTGAACTACTTGTTTTTGTTCAACTTGTTGTTTTTCTTGTTTCTTTAGATGTAAACATGTCTTTTATTAGAGATCCCTATGCATCTTAAATGCTGTAACCTTCACTTTCTTCCAAGACTGGGTTGACTCTACCCATTGGGATGAATATGCTGTCTTCATTTTTATTACTTTCAAGATTTAAAAAAAAATATCTTTTACTTTTCTTCCCTAATTCATTGGTGTTCAAAAATGATTTGTTTGAGTTTAATGTACGTAATAATTTCTGCATGTTTTTTGTTACTGACTTATAGTTTTGTCACACTGTTCAGAGTGGATATTTGGTATAATGTTATTTTAAGAATCATTTGTGGCTGACCACTTTCTGTATCTTCAAGAGTATTCCATGTGCTATGGATTCAAATGTATGTTTTTCTGGTGTTAAATGGCATGCCCCTCTAGCTTAACTAAGTTTTGACTGAATGGTCTGCTCCTTGTTCAAAGTGGGTACTCATGTCCCCTCTTCTTACTGTAATCTACTGGAGTTTAACTAACCTTTAATTCTATCTTTGTTGCTTATTTTTATATACTTGGAACTAGATATATACAATTAACTGTCATTTCCTCTTCTTAAATAGACTATATATATATATATATATATATATATATATACACACACACACACACACACACACACACACATATATATATATATTCCCTCTACCAATTCTCCTGATTTTATTTATATTCTATTTACATGAACTAAACATTTCTACCCTTTCGTTTTATGTGTGTCCTCAGATAAATGAGTCTCTTGTGTGTAGCATATATTGCTCCTCAGGAAAGTTCCATTTTGTCTTTCTTTCTCATTTCATGTCGTGATGAATGCATGCACTGTTTTGTTGTTTGTTGAGACAGGTCCCCTTTCATGGCCCATAATGGTTTCAAACTTATAGCAATCCTCCTATGTCAGTCTCACTATTGCTGAGATTCCTAGTGTCAGCCACCACTCCAGGTATCATCACTCTGTATCTGCCATTGGAAGAGTTTAAAGTATTTATATGAAAGGTAATGATCAACAGGTAATGACTGTTTCAGTATAATAATGTTGCTTTTATATGGATCTGCTCATTTTGTTAGTGTAATTCATGTCTTTGTCTTGTGAAATTCCCTTTGAGGTTAGGTGATTTTTCTCTTATGATGTGTTTTACTTATGTTTATATGTATGTATTACAAAGTTTTGCTTTGCGGTTACCATGAGGCTAAAAAACAGCCTCCTATTGATTATAACAAGCTATTTTGAAATGGTAGCAACTTAATGTTAATTGTATAGATAGAAAAAGAAACAAAAGTGGAAGAAAACACTGATAATATTTTCATATTTTTCCACAGTTCTCCTACACTTTGAATTTCTCATCCTCATTTTACATGTTTTTGTAGCACCTTTTTATGAAAATATTAGTGATGGTAGACAAAATGGCTTAGTGGATGACAGTGTTTGCTGTCAGGCCTCAGGACCTGGAATCCCTAGGACCATCTGACAGAGGGCTGATCTCCAAAATAAATAAAAAATTCAAGAAACTGGACATCAAAATACCAAACAATCCAATTTAAAAATGGGCTACAGAGCTAAACAGAATTCTCAACAGAAGAATCTCAAATGGCTGAAAGACATTTAAGGAATTGCTCAACATCCTTAGTCATCTGAGAAATGCAAATCAAGATGACTCTGAGATACCATCTTACACCTGTCAGAATGGATAAGCTCAAAAACACTGAAGAAAGCTTATATTGGAGAGGATGTGGAACAGAGGGAACACTCCTCCACTGGTGGTGGGTGTGGTGGTATTGTGTTCCCCAAAATATTGTGCACCCTAATAAACTTATCTGGGGTCAGAGCACAGAACAGCCACTAGACATAGAGGCCAGAAAATGGTGGCACACATGCCTTTAATCCTATCACTTGGGAGGCAGAGATCCATCTGGATCTCTGTGAGTTCAAGGCCACACTGGAAACAGCCAGGCATGGTAACAAGAGCCTTTAATCCTAGGAAGTAATGGCAGAAAGCAGAAAGGTATATAAGGTGTGAGAGCCAGGAACTAGGCTGGTTAAGCTTTCAGGCTTTCAAGAAGCAGTTCAGCTGAGATCTATTTGGATGAGGACTCAGAAGCTTCCAGTCTGAGGAAACAGGATCAGCTGAGGAACTGGCAAGGTGAGGTGACTGTGGCTTGTTATGCTTCTCTGATCTTCCAGCCTTCACCCCAATACCTGGCTCCAGGTTTGTTTTTATTAACAAAGACTCTTTAAGATTCATGCTACAGTTGGGAGTGCAAATTTGTACAGCCATTTTGGAAATAGTGTGGCATTGTCTCAGAGAATTAGGCGTCAATCTACCTCAAGACCCAATGATAAATACTCTTGGGCAAATATCCACAGAATGTTCAATCATACCACAAGGACACTTGCTCAACTATGTTCATAGCAGCATTATTCGTAATAGCCAGAACCTAGAAACAACCTAGATGCCACTCAACCGAAGAATGGGTGAAGAAAATGTGGTTCATATACACAATGAAGTACTATTCAGCAGAGAAAAACAATGGCATCAGGACATTTGCAGGCAAATGGATGGAAGTAGAAAATATTATTCTGAGTGAGGTAATCCAGACTCAGAAGGACAAGCATGGTATGTACTCACTCATAAGTAGATATTAGATGTAAAGCAAAGGTCAATCAGACTAAAAACCACAGCTCCAGAGACTCTAACTAACAAGGAGGACCTTAAGAGGGAAGCATGGATCTCCCTGGGAAGGGTAAATAGATGAGAGCTACATGAGTAAACTGGGGATGAGGGGTGGGCAATGGAGGGCAGGGGATGGGGGATGAGAACATAAGGGAATGGGATGGTCAAGCTTGAACAGGGATGAAATGGGAGAGCAATGGAAGACATACCTTGATAGAGGGAGATATCATGGAGATAGGGAGAAACCTGGTGCTAGGGAAGTTCCCAAGAATCCACAAGGATGACCCCAGTTTAGACTACTAGCAATAGTAGAGAGAGGGTCTGAGTTGACTTACCCCAGTAATCAGATCAGTGAATACCCTGTCATCACAGAGCCTTCATTCAGTAACTGATGGAAGCAGATGCAGAGATTCATAGCCAAGCACCAGACCGAGCTCCAGGAGTCCAGTGGAAGAGAGAGAAGAGGGATTCTATGAGTAAGGGGCATCAAGATCATGATGGGGAAATCTACAGAGACAACCAAAACAAACTAGTGGGAACTCATGAAATTTAGACCAACAGCTGTGGAGGCTCCATGGGACTAGTCTAGGCCCTCTGCATAAGCAAGACAGTTGTGTAGTTTGATCTGCTTAAAGGGCCCCCTGGCAGTAAGATCAGGGTGCATCCCTGATACATGAGTTGGCATGTTGGAGCCCATTACCTATGATGGGACACCTTGCACAGCCTTGATGTAGCAGGAGGGGCTTGTTCCTGCCTCAGTTGAATGTACCAAGCTCTGCTGACACCCCATGGGAGGTCTTATCTTTTCAGAGGAGGGAATGAGGGATGGGTTGGGGGAGAAAGCTGGGGATGGGCGGGAGGAAGGAAGAGAGGGGAATCTATGATTGGTATGTAAAATGAATAAAAAATTTCTTGATTAAAAAACTATTTTCAATAAGAGAAAATACAAAAATAAAGACATACACATACTGAAAGATTAGCTATGTGTTTTCATTTTTGTGATCTGTTTGTTTCTAACTGTTCCTGGATGCTTTTCTCTGAGCCTGTTGGTAAATGCAGCTATTTCATCACTAGAGGGCGCTTCCACACCAAGTCTGTCATAAACCTACAATTAGTGTGCTGTTCAAGACTGAGGGAGGTTGTGTTTCAAAGGGATGTCCTGCATCCCCAAACGCCTGCTTCAGGCTGGAGTGGGTCCAGCCTTATCTCCTAATTCCATTCTTGGGTCAGGAGCCATAAAATTCTGATGTGGGACCCTCTGGTGGTGAGTCTGGCTCTAGGGCCCCTAGCCATCACGTGCATCTATCCACTTTCTCTTTTCCCAAGCAGCTAGTGGGTCTCTCCTTCGTGGTTTTTGGAGTTGTGGTTCTGGGAGCCTTTTAACTTCCAGATCTACAACACAAGTTCATAGTGGATCATCAGAACCCACCATTAACAACAAACAGAAGGATAGGATCCAGGGCCATGCTTCTGGAGTCCAGAGCTGTGTCTGAAGAAATCTGCAGTTGCCAGAAGTAGTGCTGGTGAGAAGACAAGTCCATCCCACTGGGACCCCATGACTCTAACAGGTTGGGGCCAGAGCCCATGTCCATCAGCTTTGGCATGGGCAGTTGTTTTACAGATATTTGCTGGGTGTTCATTTTCACTGCAGTAAGTGCTTCCCTGAATGTTAAGTCCTATGCATACTTGTCCTTCCCACCTTCAAATGAATGGAGTCTTTTCCCATGCTCTTGTTTTGGCTAACTCTGACAGTTCCCAAGCTATCAGATAGATGCTAATTCAGACGTTTCCTTTACAGACGCTGGCCTTCAGCCAGGGATCATGGGACTCTTGTAGGTACTGATGTTTTCCATTCTGGATGCAATATTGACTTCCAAGTCTAAGACCCATGTTGTATTCTTTCTCCTTCATTCAAACTGAAAGTCATACCTCTCTGCAGCCTAGAACTGGGTGTTGCAACGAACCAGGGCAGATCTTTTTTCTGTTTCCTCCAATGATTCTTTTTTCTCTTATGCTAAAGCAACAGCTGTGATGTCTCACTTGGCTTCTTCAGTTCTGAGGAAGGTTCTTCCATATATGAACAGCTGCTCAAAGTGATGTCCTCCTCTATTACCATCTTTCAGTATGACTACAGAGAGATTTCCTAGAATTGGACAAGAAGTATTGGCAATTTATTTAGTGAAATAGTAATGCACAATACTTATTCTTCTATTCCATGACAAAGTTATGTTTCCCCTTTATGTTTTTTCTTTTAAATTTATATCATGAGCATTTTTAAGTTTGAAGAAGATTTTTGTACATTTGGTAAACATTTACTTCACATATTTTAGTTTGGAGGAGCTCCTATAAATGCTTTTGTAATTCTAATAATGTTTTCCAGTTGTTTATTGCTGATATTTTGATGTTATGAATTCTCCTTTTAATTGATTGTAGAAGTTGGTTTTATTAGTTAGTTTTAAAAACCAGTAATGTTTTTCAAATATGCAGTTTTGTGTTTTAGAGTCACTGTAGTGTACACTGTAAATATACTCCTTGCTTTAATCATTTCAAGCTTGACCCCAGTGACACTTCACACATTGTAGACTATGACCCAGTGACACTTTACACATTGTAGACTATAGAAAACACCACAGCAGTGTTTCTTCTAATGCTACTTGAGAAGTTTTCCTTCTCATTAAAATTATTTTGTTCTACTTAATTCACTTCAGACACGACAAAAAAATAAAAGTAGGTTTCATACTTTAAATTATAATAGCCTTGGGTAAAATAGTCTGAGCTTCCTTATTTCCAAGTATGAAAGGTTACTTGTTAATATGGCAATAAATTTCAAAAGTTGCTTTTCTGATATTTTAGATATTAGGGAAAATATGCCTAGAGTAATAATATGCATGCTAAGTAGAATCTATGTATCAAGGGATATGTCACTTTTAAACTTAAGTATTAATAAAACATGCAAGCTATAAGTAGAACATTTTTTATTTAAGTTCTCAGCAGTGCATTGACAGGCAATTAAAGTTTCTTTATAAGTTCAGATAGAAATTACATGAAAAACCAATCACCATTTGGTAGCATACTAATTCTAGGAAAGGATTTCTGCTGGCAGTAAGGTAGGCATAATTTATTATCAGATGCAACATCACACCAGATTCTCTCAGCATGTCAGTAAGGAAGATCCCTACCTAATCACTCTGGATGCTAATTAGCTTGAAACATTCCCTCTGGTCATTGGTCTGTGCTGTTCAGCATTATGTTGAGAAGTGAAAGTCAAGGTCTCTTTCAAATCAAACAGAAACCAAGAACACGGAGTGTCTTTTAAACGCCTGGATTGGTAGAGAAGGAATGTTCTTTTAATGAACAGGAAGGGGATCTCTTTACAGAAGGAAGTGAGAGGGTGGCAACACAAAGTAGTCGCACCACTTTGATGAAGGTACTGATTGTCATAAACTCTTAGAACACCTTTAAGATGGTTTTCAATGAAATACACTTTTGGTTTCTACTGCAATAATCAGGAAATCAGAGTGACTCACTCTGTTGGGATGTCTATACTTTGTGAATGTGCATTCATGTTTGTATACCATAAACAATAAATACCCAGCTACTACTTAGGGTCTGGTAGTGAGCTAGGATCCATGCACTATTCTCTTTCCAAAGGTCAGATTCATGAACCTCATAAGAGAAGTCAATAATCTCCATAGTCTGATTTATTGTTGAAACAAAGCTCTAGAGTCCTGACAGGTTGGAGTTAATGTTAGCAAGTCAGACAATGAAACTATTTCTCTTCTCCCCTTTCACCACGGGGCTAAAACTGAGCTACTCCAAATGTTTCTCAGTTGTGTGGCAATAAAACTATGATTATTTTTAGTCTTGGATGATATTCAACTATATACATGAATAAACAATGATAAATTTATCAGATTGGAGAATTTGAGGGAATAAAGAAACCTGTTACCTAGTGCTTTATAACTGTCTTTGTTCATCAAACTTTCTTTTCTGTAACACAAGTTTGTTATATCTATATCTATAGAGAGATCTAGTTCCATGTAGATCTATATAGATATCTATATAGATACACAACTCGCAACGTCATATATAGAGATGTACATATATTCGTGTATATGTGAATCTGAATTATTGAATTTCTTGAAGCAAACAACCTAAGTTATTTTGGTGAGAACTGCATATTTGGCTCGGCATTAGATTTTCCATAGTTTTGTGGCCCAAGTGGAATATTAAGTATAGCACCTGATATTTCAAAGTTCTTGCTGTCATCTCTAAAATCTAGTATCACATACATTAGGTTATCTTAACCAAAACTATTACCTACCAAAGCTAGGCGAGATAGATATTAAAGAATGAAGTACATGTGTAATACAGGATAGCCTTTATCATTGTTGAAAAAATCTGTTCTGATGTTTTAAATGAAAGCAATTATTGGTACAGAGGTAAGCAGAATTCATGGTTGATATAAACTTGAAAATAAAAGAAAACCCTGAACATTCTTGAACACTATCTGACACAGCTGAATGAAAGTTTAGAAGGGAGAAGAAGAAATGGAGATTCTTCTCACATACAAAATCACAAGTATTCCCATACAGTCTTGAGTGATAAAGGTTTTGCAAGTGGGCTCCAGATATCATATTGATCCCTTACCTAAGCTGGAATGTTTCCTACAGAATTCTGTGCATATTAAAACTCCACTTCTGGGGCAAGGCTGGAGATGTTATTGTAATGATGACTTCACTGTGTTCAGAGATTAATGGTAGATCTCTCAATTACATTTGCCAAGAGCTTGACTCCCTGTGACATATACAATCCTATTATTTACATTTCAGAATGCTCCACATAATGTAAGTTTTTTTCAGGAAAAATAAAAAGTAGCCAAATATTCCAAAGGATACTCTACAGAATGCTTCAAAAGTGTTAAAGACAGGATTTGAATAGAAATAAAGTGGTTGTCTCTGTTATGGAAGTTTCAGGGCAAAAGCCCAGCTCAAGAAAACACAGCAGACCTAGCTGGGTCACCTGTCTCAATGTCTCAATTAAGAAGATAGTTAATGATGAAAGGCAGATAAAGGAGATTTAATCTACTTGGACATGTCGGTAAGATAAAGAGGTTCAGTGACTCCAGCTATGTCTTTAGGTCACCATCTGAACTTTAAGTGAAAGAATCATTGTGTCAGAGCAAGAGGTATGCATAATTAAGTAGTCTTGTTCAAGGTGTAATCCAGTTGACCTTTTTTTTTTTCCAGTTTTGGCTCGACAAAGGGTTTGAAGAGGTCTTTATTACTTGATATGGCAGTATCAAGATCTTGATGAGATATTGAGCCATGTGACCCAGGCAGGTCTGCTCGGTTTTCTTGGATCTTGGGATCCAAGGTGACTGATGGTTTATGAGAATGAGTGGAAGGTTTTATGGCCTTTCAGAGATCTGGATCAGGACACAATAAAAGCTGAGAGTACTGTGGCTTGGTTACTCTAATTTTCACACCTTAAACCTTCTCTGTTTGTATGTATGTGGGAGGGGGTCCAGTAAATTAGTTTATGTGTCTCCAGTATTTGGCTAGCCACTCCTTGAGTAATTGGCATGTCTACCTAGAAGGTTCAGCAGTAGTCTAGCCCAAAGTAAAGGAGCCAGATATGAAATGAAGACAAAGAGGCTAGGCTTTTCTCCAGCTTCAGTTAACTCTTGGACCCAGAATTAGGAATTAATTCTTTATTAGCAATAGAAAGTTTTAAACACATGTTGCACTTGTATATTTTATGTAATTTTAATCTTTGAAAGTATGCCACTGGAATAAAAAAAACAGGAAGAGCTGATTTTATATTTCCTTTTTATCTTTTATCTGTTTTAATTAGGGTTAGTGAACCTTAGTTCTGTTGTGTTGCTATGATAAAATATCCTGACAAAAGTAACATAAGGGAAGAAGAGTTTATTTTTGGCTTACTGCTCCAGAGGGACACAGTCCATCATGACAGGGAAGATGTGACCAAATGGAGGGAAAGCATGGTGGCAAGGACAGGAGGCTGGCTGGTCACCTTTCATCTATACACAGAAAATGGAGAAGAGGGAATTAGGGTGACCCATCCTGCAGGCCAGGTTATTCGAGGGTCTCGAGGAGGGACCACCTGTGAATCAATGGGGGGCGAGAGGGAGTCAGTCTGAGTTGCGTCAAGGTCTTGTTTATTGACTGGGTGTTAGAGCTTATAAACAGGGCTTCAGGTAGGGAGGGGGAGCAGGAGGAGTGAGGAGAGGACAAAGAAAATTCCTAAGGGAGGGTCAGCAGGAGGTCGCTTTGGTCCCAGGCCCCTGCAGCTAGCTGATTTAGTACAGGCTCCAAGAAGTTTATTTAATGGTACATTCCTTGATTAAGCTAAGAGCCTCCTATTTACACGAGGCTTGATAAATCGTGGAAGGTTACACAGGTTCAAGACACAGCTGTCCAGAGTCGGTCCCCAACATTAGGGCCTGCTATGACACCTCAGTGTGCATGCCAATTGTCTAACTCCTCCAGTGACGTTCTACCTCTGGAAGGTTCCACAGTTTTCTCAAACTGTGCTGAAGGAGGTAGCTGTATTCAAACACCTGATACTGACATTTCCCAGTCAAACCCTGACAAAATGATCGACTAGTATTTTCTAATTTTGAGACTGAAGAATTTCAGTGTGTGTCATACTGAGAAGTTGGATTGTCTAAATGGTGGCTGTCTTGATCTATAAGGGATGGTATAAAAGATAAAAGTCTTCCATCAGTATAATGTTGTCACTGACTTGCAATGTTTCATTTAAGTAGCTGATGTTGCACATTCATCAACAAATGAAAGACACCTTTTAGTAAGCCTACGCCATAATATCATAAGTATCTTATGGACTGACATGGACATATCTTATTCACTCTACTGAGAATGCAATCAATACTTTTTAGTCTATACATCAGAGAGTGATTCAGCTTTAGCTATTAATATTGAATGTAATGTAAAATACTGTGCAGTGAAGGCAATTCCAAGTTGTAAGACCACTCAGGTGCATACAGACAGGATCTTGGGTCTTAAACATGAAAGGGCAGCCCTATAAGATCAAGGTACAGTTTTTGTATTTGTGTCTTCCAGTGTTTTAATAAAATGATATAAATGGAAAGTAATCATT